TTGTACCAGAATCAATGGATCAAAGACCTCAATGTAGGACCAGATACCTTGAAAATATTACAGGAAGGGATAGGGGAGACACTAGGGCTCCTTGGCATGGGTCAAAACTTCCTAAGTAAGAATCACAACAAACTTGATAAATAGGATTGCATCACACTAAAGAGTTTCTGCATGGCAAAGGACATAGCTATCAGGATAAAGAGAAAGCCCACAGAATGGGAAACAATCTTTACTAGCTATGTATCATATAAGGGCCTCATATCTAAAATATACTTAGAACTCAAAAAATTAAAGCCTCTCAAAACAAATCCTTAAAGAAGAAACAACAACACAATTAAGCAATGGGATAAAGACTTAGAGACAACCCAGATGCCTCTCAATGGACAAATGGATCAAGGAAAGGTAACATACATACACAATATACACAATTTCTTTGCATCAGAAAGAATGATATTGCCCCATTTGTAAGGAAGTGAAAGGACTTGGAAAAAATTATATTAAGCAAAGTAAGCCAGACCCAATGAAACCTAGGTTGCTGGCTTCTCTTATTTGTAGAATGTGACTATAAATCTACAAGTAAACATAATGGATAGGAAAAGACAAAAAATTACACATGGACATGCTAAAATAAATAGGACTCTAAACATTCATAGAGTGAGACCCAAGGAGAATATTGTTAGGAGAGGATCACAAAGGTGCAATAGCTATGTGCATATAGTCATATAAAGTGATGTTTATTGAAATGAACTCCAAGAAATGGAAATGAGGTTTTTAAAATTTTTATATGTATGTGTATATGTTGTTTATCCCTTTTGTCACTTGTTTAAAATTTCTGTAACTTTTGTCTTATATGCAACTTTATCTGTTTTGAGGAAGCTAAGGGGAAATACAGAAATGGTGGGACAAAGGGTGAACTAATTCAGCTTCAGCAGTGATAATCACTAGTCACTAATGTTGAAAATTAACTATACAATTTGTGGGGGATGGAGGCCGGGAGAGAAAAAAACTGTGAGATAATGAGGGAAGAGGTGACACTGTACTCAGTACCTGACACATCCCTCTGTATATCACCTGTGCAATACAAATAAATTCAAAAATTTTAAAAATTGCTTCTTATATCAGCCTAACTTTTGCAGTTGTGATTTAGTTGTGCACATCATTGTGTATACAAAAGCCCAAAGACTACATTGTCACATTTCTGGCCCCTGAACCATCAGTGTTTGACAGACATTAAATTATTTATCCAGAAAATCACTAGAAATGTCAATCTGACATTGTGTCATGAATATCATGATTTCTTAACTATCCATGCTATGTACATAGTTTTTCATTTGGCTGTATAAGGAAGTGATAATAATTTGGATCGATGTAAGTTGCTTCTCTAAGAAGGTCCATGGATTTCTATGCATTTGATTGCTAAAGGGGTGAAGATTTCAGTGCCTTTATATTAGTAACCCTAAATATTTGCCCATTTGGCTACATTTTTAAGACAGTAAAAGAGCTGTCAAAGGCAATTATACTTAAGTCGATCTTTCTGAGTTGGATTCTGCCTAAAAGGACTTGTGACTATAAATAACTAAAATAACCCAAACACTGTATTGATTGATTGATTGATTGATTGATTGATTGAGCTTCCTCCAAATTATATTCCAGAAGATATAAAGCAAGAACTCATATTTTTAATTTTGTCAGCTACTTGGCTGTGAGTAAAATGTTAAAAAGAAATTCAGTCAACCTTGAGAAAACAGCCATATAATATCATCCCTTCCATCTATCTGAAAACCAGGCTGTCATGGGAATGTTACTGGATCTACAGCCCCTCAGAACAACATTCCAACAGATAGATCTGTTGGAAACATGTCATTCGAGCATCTGCTCCACGTTTATAGCTCCATATACATGCTCGTGCCCCATAAGCATCAGATTTTCACATCCAGAATGGCAGTAAACTCATTCTCTAGAGCTTTCTACCCCTTCCTTCAATTGGCAAAACTCTGCTTGATTTTTATTGCTGCAGGAAATAGTAGAGTGTAAGGTTTGTAACTCTGAAGACAAACCAGGAAAAAATAAACTGGTAATAAAATGAGGTAAAACACAGGCTCTGAAATTATTGCTACGTTTTAGAATTATAGTCTCATAGAGTCACACCAGGAGCAATAACAGAAAGAATGAGAAAAATGAGCAAACAAATGATATTTTTTCCACTAAAGTTTAACCTGAAATTACCCTCTAGGGTCAACTGATTTTTATATTGGATAAGCTATAAAGTATACTAAGAATACTGCATGTTTATTTAGTTATTTATTAGAGTTAGGTTTATCAACACCTAATAGTTAAACCATTTACTGATATAGACCAGTACTTCTAAGACAACTGATACATTTTTTCAAATGCAAAATCTCAAATGTAATGAGATTTTAAGTATATGTTAGTAAGAGGAATTTTTTCAGCTTACAGGAAAAGTAGTCAATATATGGTACAATGATGCAATTGTACAGCAAGGTCTGGTAGCAAGTGCCAGGCCTCAATAAGTAATATCTGATGCTCCCTCTCATCCCAGCAGCAAGCATCACTCAATAGTCATTGACACAATCTCTCAGACGGGTGTCTATCCATCCACACATGTGAGTCTTTTATTTCCATTAAACACCAACAAATGTTAATAAAAACTTAAGGATAACACCCAAGTCCTGAGTTCAAGCCCCAGGCAGGACCAGCACACACACACACACATACACACACACACACACACACACACACACACACACACACACAGTATTTGCTTTCTAATCCCTCCCCTCTTAGACAAAAATTGCTGTGATGTTACTTTACATCTGTATACTGTGGCTAACAATCTGTGCTGTTCTTTTTCTTCTTCATGTCCTAACATGGCTTCACCTTCATGATTGGTAATAACTCCCTGACAGCAGGTAAGAAAGAAAAATCATGACAAGTGGGTAAAATTTATTAAGAAATGTCTATGATCTGTATCCTATAAAGGATTTGAAATTGATTAGGCAAGAAGGAAGCACAAATTACTGTCTTCACTGTAATATTGACAAAGCCTAGGGAGGTTTTTGCTTGAAATAATAATAGCTATGGATCTTAAAAACATATCTTCTCAAACTCTTCCTCCTTCCTTCCTTCCTTCCTTCCTTTCTTTCTTCCTTCCTTCTCTCCTTCCTTCCTTCCATCAGTACTGGGCAGGGTTTGAATTGGCATTATGCTCTCACTTAGACTTTTTGCTCAAGGCTTATACTCTAACATTTTGAGCCACAGCTCTACCTCTGGTTTTCTGGTGGTTAACTGGTGATAAGAGTTATATGAATTTTTTTCCTAGGGTGGCTTTGAACCATGATCCTAAAATCTCAGCCTCCTGAGTAGATGGGATTACAGGTGTGAGCCACCATGCCAAACTCCCAAATTCTTTCTTATCACTTCCACAAACTATATAACTTTTATAAAAGATGCCTATGTTGGTGCTTGACTTTTCATGCATGTAGATTTTTTTAATATAGGTTAGGAGATTTCATTCCAGTTCCAAAATCTACATCTTAATTTCTTTGTATACCTAGTGAAGGAAAAATAACATATATTCTGCTGAACTTGCAGACTGACTCAGAAGGATAGCATACTTACAAACTGATGTAAATGTTATAATTATTTCAGTTAGTATTTTCATTTATAAAAAGTTATTATAGAGCCAGGCCCTGGTGGCTTATGCCTGAAATCCTAGCTACTCAGGAAGCTGACATCTGAGGATCCCAGTTCAAAGCCAGCTCAGGCATGAAAATCCATAAGACTCTTATCTGCAGGTAACTGCCAGAAAACCAGACATGGAGCTGTGGCTCAAAGTGTTAGAACAATAGCTTGAGCACAAAAGCTCAGGGACAGTGCCCAGGCCCTGACTTCAAGCCCATGACCTCCCCTCCCCCACCAAAAAAGAAAAATTATTATATGGTAAAATTAATTCTGTTTGTAAAGAAAACTGCCTACATTTTAATTCAATTTCCTTGAGAGCTTCAACTACCTGTGCCATTTCTTTAAATTGCAAATATTACATGCAATTTGTTTTTGTGGGTCTAGGAAAGATGACACATCCAAAATTTGAACACATGATTCTTATTAACTAAAATTAGGAGAAAGATAGCAAAGTGTTTATTGCAATACAAAGCAATTGGACTTTGATTGTCTACTCACCCTCAAGTTTAAGGCTCATCACCTGTATCTTTTTTTTTTAATTTATGTTTTGATTTGTAATCACAATTCATTCTGATCATGACCTTGAAGTAGAGATAGCCCAATTCAAGTGTAGCTCGGTGGAACATTGTTATGACAACATGCCTTAAACTTTAATAACTAAGGGGACTATGATAAGGCAGTTACTTAAGGGATATTATTTCAGGACACACATGGCACTTGGTTGCAATTCTCTTTTGTGACAGCCGTTTCTCAGGGTGCATAGTTTCTTGCACTCCACTCCAGATTAGTCACAATGTGCTTCCAGAATGATAGAAATCAATCAGAAGCTCTCTCCCACCAGAAGATAAACTATACATGAGAAATACTGTTCGTCTTTGACCCAGAATGCAGAGTTGCATTGATACTCCATAGAGGGAAGGACCCGTGTGAAAACAAACACTGTCAGAGGATCTGCAGTTGGAATCTTCTAGAGACCAAGGAAGGTGCGTGTGCTTGGTCCTCTGTTTGCTCTTGCAAAGGAATGAAAGCAAAGAGGACTTTTAAGCTCTATCATCCTACAACAGAATGTGAGATCTGCAAAAGGGGAGGAAAAAATATATATAAACCAAAACTTTGGAGGAAATGGAGCAAACCGTTTAGACAGAGAGAAACATGGATGGAGAGAGACTGAGACAGGAGACAGAAAAGGAGGAGGAGAGAAAGAGGGAGTGGAGGGAGAGGGAGAGAACGAGGGAGAGGAGGAACTAGAGAAGAAAGGAGGCAGGCAGGGACGGGGAGACACAGATCGGATCACTCACTTGGCATTTCCTGCCCCTGGCTTCTTCCTTCGGAAAATGTTGAGGAAGGTGTTGGAGCGGCAGGGCAGCTTGCCATCGCCGACGTGCATGCGGACCACGTCCGAGGTGGTGAAGGCACTGCGGACATTCCTCTCGGGCTTGGCAATGATGATGTACATCTTGGGCGTGAACATGCACCCCAGCGCCACCGTGACGCTGAGACTCACTGCGAAGCAGGTGGTGATGATCTTGTAGTTGCTCCCAAAGTAAATGGGCACGAAAGCTAGCCAGATGATGCAGGTGGTGTACATGGTGAAGGCGATGTACTTGGCCTCGTTGAAGTTGGCGGGCACGTTGCGGGTCTTGAAGGCATAGTAGGTACAGCTCATGATGAGGAGCCCATTGTAGCCCACGGGGGCCACCACGCCCAGGTTGCTGGTATTGCAGATCAGGTAGACTTCCTTGATGCTTGGGTAGGACAGAATGGGCATAGGAGGTTCCATGATGATCAAGGTGACCACCAGGGTGAGCTGCACGCTAATGAGAATGGAAGCAATGATCACCTGGGCCCAGGCGCTCATGAACCTGGGCTTCCGGGTGCAGATTTTCTTCTTGCTGCCTGCCAGGATGCGGGCAATGCGATTGGTTTTGGTCACCAAAGCAGAGTAGCACATGGCGGAGGACAGGCCAACCAGGAGGCGCTGGAGGTAGCAGGACGTGGTCGTTGGTTTGGCAATGAGAGTGAACGGACACACATAACCAAGGAAGATGCCGGCTAAGATGATGTAGCAGAGCTCGCGACTGGAGGATTTGACCACAGGTGTATCTCGGTATAGCACAAAGATGAGAGTCACAAACAGGGTGACGAGGATGCCCAGACAAGAGAAGGCGATGGCGATGATGGATTCGATGTTGCTCCACTCGAGGTAGCGGACAGGAATGGGTTCACAGCCTGTGATGAGAAACAGTTCATTTTCATATGAAATTGGAGTTTCTGCTGACCAATAATGACTGCTTATTAGTTATTCACAACCGACCTGTCTTTCCTTCCTGGATGATTTCTATGCTTGGCACAAAAGTTGCCAGTGTTACACACAGATTCCTAAACTTAGTCTCATTGCAAGTCTAAGGTGACATGCTTGTGAACCTGTAATATTTTTCTTTCAATACTGTCATTATAAATGGATGTCCGTCAAAGAAAGGAGAAAAAATGTTTACAGTAAAGGCTAAGTAAGGACAAATTAAAACAAAGGCTTAGCCCATGTAATTATAACCCCTCTGTACAGTATTTTCACAATAAAAAAAAGAAAAAAAAGAAAAGCTTAGTAAGAAATAAGCAAACAGGCTGGATGTGGGGTCTCTAATCCCACCTATTGCGGTGGTGGAAATTAGGAAGAATGAGGTTTGAGACCAGCTTGAGCCAACTTAGTGAGATGCTCCAACCATGCCAACAAATAAGATGTAGCAATTCACACATGCAATCCCAGAAACATAGTACTTATAGGTAGGAAGATCAAGGTCTAAAGCTGGCCCCAGACAAAAGCATGAGGGCCTATCTAAATAATAACTAAAACATAAAAGGGTTAGGGTATGACTCAAGTGATAGAGTACCTGTTTAGCAAATGTGAGACCCTGTACTGACTAAATAAACTAGCAAACTTTTTTTTTTAATTTTATGCAGCCATTGACCATAGACAAATAGAGCTCACAGGCAAATTTTGGCTTGCAGAATATTTTATATAGAAATTCAATTCAAATGTTGTACAAGAATTTGCATGCTTGTGTTTACCACATAATTCTATATTACCCACTTAAAATTCCTTTAGCTATTTATTATTTGTATATGGCAAATGGACAGACCAAAAGAAACTGGATCTCTACTCCCAATGCTCTTAAAAGGAGAGATGTTTTCCTTTGAGACAGGAAATAGAATCAGTTTCATATTTCAGAGTGAGAGAAAAAAATTGTCAGACTCTGGAGACAACCCCTTCACAGGATTTTGTGTTTGGTCTGGGCCAATATTTCCCACATTGTGAGAGTAAAAATACGTTTCCCTAAATTTAGGAAAAGACTCATTGTTCTAGCAGCAAGAAACCACCAGAAATGGTTTTAGGTCTGTTCAGCCAATCAACACCAACCTACCTCAGTGAACATCTTTTTATTTACCAACCAATGAATGTTAGGCCTTGATTCTGACAGTCCCCAGTTGGGGTGTCACATAAGTGTAAGTAATAAAGTATAGTTTGGGGTTTAAAAAATCACATACAATTCTCCTTCAGTGTTCATGGGGAACTACTTCCAGAGCCACCACGGATACCTACCCTTGCTCCAATACCTTCTGGAAAGTTGCAGTTTGCAAATGGTCTACACATATCTTCTTGTATGCTTTAAATAATCTCTAGATTATGCATAGTTCATCATCCTATGTATAATTATATAAATAGTATGGTTTAAGGACAAGAGACAAGAAAAACATGTCTAAGTGTTGAGCATAGACCGAACCATCATGGTCTGGACTATATAGTTCATGAAAGAAATAAAGGAACTATTTATTCCAGTGGTTTCCATCCACAGCTGCAGAAGTAGCTAAGGAAGGATGACTGTCTTTAGTCTTACCATCTTTTGTATTTCTACAGATTTCATAAAGATCATTTTGAAGACCCTTACTTGGTACTATTCCTGGTTATACTGGGAATATCCGGTTTACTCCCTAGACCCCTAAAGCTCACCCTGAGTTCTTCCCATACACTGTTTGTGGAAGATCACAACAGTGGTCCAGCTCTGGTTAATTTTACTGAGTTGTGTTGTATCTATTTAATTAGGCTAGGACTTGTACTTGTGTAGGACTCTATATATAGGGTCATTAAACTTAAATCTTCGTATAACATAGATCTATCTATCTTTACATTAAGAATTCCAGCCCCTGGTAAATAAGCCTAAGGTATTTATAAAGTCAACAAACATTTTGTTTTAGCTGTATAATTTGAGAAATATCTTTTTCTTTACTTACTTCTCGGCTACTTTTTTTTTGCTTTTGTAACCATTTACCTACTGCATATATAAATCCTTATTTGTTTTTAAGTCTTTAGCCCACTTATTTGTATTTGTGGTTGTTGTTTGATTTGGTTTGCAATTGAATTGAATTGAGTTGCATTGCTGGTGTTTTGATGACTATAAAAGGAAGTGGGAAACGAAAACTAGATCACCGGAAGACACAGATCCAGGAACTCTCCAGTACAAGCTGGCCCATGTTTGGAGCACTGATAACTAGCTTATAAAAAGTATCTACTCTTTCTGAGTCCTTAGAAAATCTCTGGAAACTTACTTGTTAAGTTGTCAATGTGTGAAATATCACTTTGTTTAGTGTTGCTTTCCAACATTACTCTTGCTTTGAGAATATGAACTCTCATTCAGGAGCACATACTTGGACTGACCTTAGAGGGAGTAGGCACCAGTGCTCAATAGGAAATGTACTCATTACTTTGCTCATGTAACTGTAACCCCTCTGTACAGTATTTTTACAATAAAAATACAATAAAAACCTCTTCCTGGAAGAACTTCTGATTTCATTATAAAGTCATATTTTAATTCTACATGTTTCTGGGTTTTTCTTCCCAATAAAGGCTGGGTAGATTCTCTCCAACTTCAGAGAGAGAGGGTAAAATAAATGCTCTCGATTCTTACTAAGTAGAGTCCTACATCACAAATCCATTCTGTTTAATTCAATTAATCGCTTTCTTGTGGGGAAAATATTTTAAAGCAGCAGAATAAAAAAGATATATAAATAAACCACATAAAATGCATTCTACAAGGCATTATCAGAAGCTATGCTTTTAATGAAAAGATGTAAAGATGAAAGATAATCTTCCAGAAACGTTCAGATCTACCTAATGTCTTAAGTCCATTAGAGATATTGACATCTAGGAAATCCCTGCTCTTACCACAAAATCTAAATAGAAGGAATATTCCTTCCTTATGTTATTAGAACAACAGATACTTTGTTTACTTTAAAAAATTCCGATAGCAAGAAACAATCCTATGTCCCAATCTACTATTTATACTTTGAGATTATTATTAGAAAAATATTTCTTCATTCTTTGTGACAAAATCCCACAAATGTAATAGACAAGAATGCTTCCAGAGAGCGCATCAAATTATAGATGCTCTAGACATGAAAACACCTACACTTTGCAAAATTTGGGAAATAGCTATTATCACAGAATCCTTTTAAACAAGAGACTCCACAAAATTAAGATTTGGAGCATAGCATACTGGTTTACAAGCCATTGTAAGTAAGTAGATTTATGTTAAATTACTAAGCCCTATATACCATGCTTTAGGCAGATTAGCAACATGGCACATACAATTAACTGTTGCCCTTTGTGGTAGGAGGATTCTAAGGTAGTCTTCAACTGCCTCTCCCCACTTCTGATCTGTGTGTGCTTATATCCCCTCCTCTTGACTAAGAGAAGAACCTGCAATTTGCTTTTTGTCTATAGAGTATAGCAAAGATGATGAAAAGCCGCTTGCGAGATCAGGTTCCATAAGGAAATGATTTTTTTTTTTTATCTTACTAGCAAACTCTGTCTTGCTGGCCTTGACAAAGCTGCATTCTACCTTACTGAAGTCCATGCACACATCAAATATGTTGTATAACCACTACCTAATTCCAAAATTTTCATCACCACTAGCATACACAGTAAGTACTTATTCCCTGATATTACCTCCCTGTATTTCTGGTTATCACCAATCTGCTTTCTATCTCTATAGTTGTATCCATCCTGAATATCTTACATGAAAATACTATCCCATAATATGTGATAATATGTGAACTTTTGGATCTAGCTTCTAATACTCAGTCTAATGTTTTTAAAAAGTTGTCAGGGTTTTTTTAGAACTTACATGAAAATTTAATATTTACTTTCCTTCTCTTTTCTTTTTATTGGAGGGGGCAGCGGTGGGGTTTTAAGTCAGGGCCTCCAGTTTGGCTTTCTCATTCAGGGCTGGTGTTCTCCCACTTGAGCTATGCCGCCAACTTTTTGCTGCTTACTTTGGAGACAGAATCTCATGGAAAGAAGCTCATAGACTTTTCTGTCTAAGCTAGCTTTGATCTGGGATCCTCCAGACCTCAGTCTCTTGTGTAGCTAAGATTAAAGGCTTGAGCGATGATGCCCAGCTAGCAATTAATTTGTTTTCATAGCTGAATGTTGTTACATTGTATATACTACAAAGCCACATGCCATCTTACTGAAGTCTCTGTGACAAAGAACTGAGGAAAGTCCCCACCCAAAAAACTGAGGTCCTCAGTGCCACTGCCTGCCACTCTACCCTGCCAGCAACCACAGAAGTGAATGGAGACATGCACTCTTCCCCCACCACACCTTTAGAGAAGGCCTCATCCCCAGTCTTCCAAAAGATCACAAGAAGAAGAGAGCCCCATTCAGCTCTGCCTAGGCCCCAGATCCACAAACATGTGAAATAATAAATGTGTGTTGCTTTAAGCTACTAGACTTTGTGTAAGTTTTTATATATATATATATATATATATATATATATAGTAGGATAACAAATTGCCCTAGTAAATTCAACTCCTTAATTTAATCAATGCTTAGATTCTAATAGCGAGCACAGACATAAACTAAATTAACCCAAACACCTTTAGGTCTTGTACCGTTCTTTATGTCTCATGTTACCAAATGTGATAAATCCTTATTACTCAATGGTCTGACAGCGTCGGTTACTTAATTAACTAAATTTTGAATTAGTGCTGCTTCTCCTTCCTATGTCCTATCTGCTGATGTGTTACTGGTAATACCGCAACTTTATAAATCGTCTCAAGGAAGGAACATTTCAAGAATGTGCTTATGCGATACAAGAACTGTTTATGCTCAGAGCTGAGTTTTAAATAACCAAGTACTACATCTTAACTTAATATTGCTTCACTATGGATGT